GCTTCTGACAGCTGTAAGCGTAAGAGGACAACAAACGCCAAAGCTGTCCTGAAATTTCATTACATCATCAGTTTTCACCTAGACATAGTCTTTTATTGGCAATCAGTTCTTTTTTAACACCTTTACACCAAATTGTATATTTGACTCATTCAGATATTTTCCACTAATATGAGTCTTTTTTTTTTAATGCAGGTCAAATTAGTGAATATACGCAATGATGACATTACAGATGGGAACCCAAAGCTGACACTGGGACTGATCTGGACCATCATCCTTCACTTCCAGGTAAGTTCACTTTAGTCACAGCTGTGTCCTACTTGAATATGTAATGTTCAGCACAGCATGCCAGAGGTTAGAGGTGACTTTGCTTAATGCTAATAGCGGCTGTTTACCAGCCTCTCATGTCCGCAGCTGTCAGTTTGAGCAACAGGGATTTGCCCGTGGCAAGAATATAAGAACTCAAGAGGGAATGATGCACAAGGAGAATGTGATGGATAGAGTACAATCCTAAATTCAGCCTCTGAATATGCTCAGGGAATGGCTTATATGGTGCTTCAATAGAAAAGACCTGGCAGTCTGCCTGTTTTGCAGAATGACAGACTTTCTAGACAGGCACTGCCAGCATGCATGCTGATAAAGAAACAAAAATCTGCAGAAATGGGCCCTGCAGAGCACATTTGTGAAATGGCCTTCAATTTTCTATACTTATGGGTCAAGCTAGAGAAGTAAGGTCTGTTGGGTGGATACTGTGCTGCTGGATGGTAGAATTGAAATGTCCCATTTATAAAGGCAATTTAAATAGGCTGCATGGTAGTTTATCCGAAGCAATAAAAAGATACTTTCGCCCTTGCTCCAGAATGGAATACTAGCACAGATTGTTCAAACCATATTAATAATGTTCTACAATAAACACATGACCAGTTAAGCTAATTTTTGATCCAAATTTGTGTAGAAGGCTTATAATCTGATCAAGTAATTACTCAAGAAAGATATATTCAAATCACTGTAGTTACGGTTTCTGTTCATTCTTTGAAAATGCATTGTATGCAGTACTATATGCTCTGATTGTAGTCTTCATGTTTTAGCAAATATAGTATATCAGTTTATCAGTATGCAAAAATGCATACTATGTGCAGTATACAGTTGTGAAGTTGTATTTCATTCCATTTCCAAACATAACCTTAGTCACCCATCAGCTATGAGAAAAGGCCACAATGCTCATTTATTAAAGACTAGCAAAAATAATAAAGCTGTTATAATGCATTTTTAACAAACTCTCTGCAGATAATTTAAGAGAGTTCTATTAAATGCTCTTAAAAATACAAAGTTATCATTTACTGCATACTAGCTGCACTTCCCAGGATCGTCCAGAAGAGGACACTAGTATCAACAGAGCGGTTACATCACAAGGTGACATATGCAGCTGGTTGCCAAGGTGATTGTGTTTAGTATGACCCCAAAGCCTTTTTCAATCAGCATGATTCAGCAGAAAAGAGTGGAGGAAGCATAGGCCTCATGAAATAGCAAATCAATTCAAAAAAAAAAAAAACACCTTCAGAAAAATATGAAAATTAAGAAATATTGCTTTAGAAATTAAACCACTTTCCCCCACAGTGCTTGAATCTGATATTTTTATGTCCAATATATTCTAACACTAACTAGAGAGCAGAGATTTGAAACAAACTATCAATTATCTTGACAAATTGCAGTAATTGGTTCAGAACAGAGCAGGCCACTGGCACACAAATAAGTACTTGTAAACTACTTGTTGCATCTCTGGGACAAAACTAAAACAGTTGAACAGAGGCGAAAAAACAAGGAATGGGACTTTTAAAACTTGCATGCTTAATTGCAATACTTAACATTGATTAATTATGAAACAATGGAAATGAGACAATAGTACACAAAGCAGAGCATGCCACTGACAGTATGACAGTATGGAGAATTTGCTTTGGTTGAACATTTCAACATTAGCTTTATTTTCTATCAACCAATAATATATTGGAAGGAGAAATAAAAGGTGTGATGGTAGACCACTATAGAAATGCATAATGTTATTGTTGTGAAGAACAAGTTGCAGCCAAAATTACTATAGCCCAATATAATATAGCATGACTCATTTAATGAAACATCATCCAATTTAATAATTTCAGCAGAGGCACATTAGGAGGAGTTGCTGTTTGTCAATAGAAGCAATCCGAAAACCACTCCTCTAAGTGCCATTTTGATGCATACTGTACTTTCACTTCAGACATCCCCCCACACACACTCAATCTGGGACACTTCCCTCTGTTTTGAAACCACCGCTGTAATTTAGGCTAACAGCAGCCTTTCGGAATTGTTTAGTATATCCTCATATTGACCTCATATATTTTTGTCTAAGTTTAGGATCCTGTGGGAAAATACCAATCAAGCTTCAGTGTGTTAGCCTAGGCTGAATTTGCACCAGCTGTCTCTGTCACAAAAACAACTGATCTGATTGGCTGTTATGTTAGTCACATAAAAGGTGTGGTTGTCTGGCCAGCTGGGTTGTTTGGCAAAGATTGCAGTGTGCTGAAATCTTATGCTCTTTATCTGCAGGATAAAGCTGATAGGTGCTGGTCTCTGTTTGTCAGTAAACAGAAATTTACCCCATCTCAGTTACAGTACTGGAGACTATGGATACATGACAATTAGGCTGATTATCATGGTATCATGGTTCTGATTGATTTATTGGTTGTTAATTCATCACCTTCCTTTGCAATTCTGCTTGTCTATGCTGCTTCTGATCACATGACTAAATATCATCACAGTGCTGTAATTTGTGTGGGAGTGTCTATAGAAGAGGGATATCTTCATCTTCATGTCCACAGCCAGGTGTGGTCACATTTACTGCTATTTGCCAAATTTCTGCTGCCGAAATCCAGTAATTTCAACAGGAATCCACGTGATCGAGAGAAAGATTTCCCCATGTGAATTAAGCATTGGGTTCAATTGGTCGTGCAAATGTGCAGTATTGACCCAACAGCCTGCGAAATTTGATCAGAATTTAACTAATGTGAATGCATCTTAACAGCTGGCAAGATCTTTCATCTGCATCTCCTTAACTCTTTACAGATTGATCATGTTCTTCAGACCCGTTAGTAATACATTTATTCATTCTGCCTTGTCCCTTGTTCATCTTTGTCAAGATGTCTTATGGCTAGTGTGTTAATATGTATAAATATATGTAAGAGAGGAGAGCCAATAATATCAGATGTGAAAGTGACATATATGTTAAGGAGCAACAATTAAAATTTCAGGGTTATTCTTTTCTTGCAGTCTCAGGCTGCCAACCAATTTGATTGGTGTGCATGTGCGCGTGTGTGTTGAGCTCTGAGCTCACCAGGCATCAGAACAGGGAGGGAGGGAGGGATGAGCACGTGGATAGGAGGAGAGAAAGAGTGAGGAGGAGGGAGAGAGGGAGGAGGAGGAATCTAAAGCAGCAGCAGCGTATTCTGTGAGGCTGCAGCAGACTAGAGATTAAGCTCTTTTTTCCGCTGGCTGGCTCCAGGTTGGGGGAGGATTCCTCTGGATTTCCCTCTTTTCCTCTTCCAGCCGTGGTTCAACTGCCCAGCCCAGCCCTATCCTGGCGGCGTTCTAATTAGATTCCATAGCCAGAGAAACAGACAGTATCAGGGAGCGGCACCTTGTCAGTTATCACTTTTTCCTCTCATCGGCTCACCCCAATTTAGGGACATACACTGCTTAGTGGCGGAACAAGGAAGACAGGATGGCTTGAAACAATGTCTACTTGATATATGAGACTGGACTATGTGCTAAACCACATCTATAACCAGCCATGTCAGCAGGGGGAAAGTGGTTGTTGAATTTTGCTGGCTGAAGGTGAGGTCTTCACTCATGGTAGTCACCGTCCTCTTTATTGACTTGAATGTGCTGGTGTCAGTGCATGGGATGCCATTTCCCGTGGAAGCAGTGGAGAGATGCTTTGTACCTAGCCCCTCCCCTTCTTTCTCTTCAATGTCTGGAGACTTGTTTTAATGGAGTTTACATGCCTGGGACGTGAAACACTCATAGCTACAGGTGTGAAGACCAAACATCATCTCACATGGGCTGGTTATGCTTGGGTGATGATGGGAACAAAAGATGTTAAGCTCTGATGGGTTGTGACTAAATTGTAGATGAGCTACCTGACTCTGCTCTTTCGTCCATTAGCAGCTGATCTTAGACCTGTTACACAGCTTTACTGTAAGCGTCCTACAGGACTTTTATGACTGCTTCCCAATACATTACCTACCCTATGTGATGTTAGCACTACAGAGTGAAGTGATCAATAATGTATGCTAAAGATATTCAGAGAAGCAGGTGTTTCTAGGCATCTTACTGTTCACACATAAATACATGTTCAGACATGGTTTTCTCCAGTTTTTAGTTGCATGCAAGCTGACGATTAGTGCATCCTAATGATGCATCCTGATGCAGAGTTATTGAGCATGTGCACTCACATGAGTATGTCTCTGTATGTATGCAGTGCAGTTTTATTGTCGTTCTCACCTTGAGGAATATCTTCTGAAGTACCTTCGAGTGTCTTCGAGTACCATTACAAATGGCCTGCTATTTAACACATAGCTTGTGAAATGGGCTAAAAGGCACCGGTTTTTCTTCAGTCAGTGCTGCATCATCTCTGCATCATGAGGGAGTGAAAAAACATCAAATGCCTTGCCGTAGGATTTTAATATTTTATAAAGGACAGTAACCTATATTCAGCATCATGTCCTAGAGGCTTACTAGGACCTTAAGTGATATTTGGTTTAGGTTAACTGCAACATTGCCTGAATGACAGAAAGAGAAAACTAAGCAACAGGAGATATGACTGCTGCCCACACCTAAAGTTGAGACATGATGTCCTGGGAGAACCTCACCCTGTACCAAACCCTGTTGTCATGGTTAATACTTCTTGTCATGATTTTCACTCCAGATGAGTCATTAACTTAACATTTTAATTTACCTTACCAGCCTCAGGCTGACTGTTTTTCTCCCATTGTGGACATCACTTTATTTCCTTTTGCCTCATATTTATCTACTCTGTCTCTATGAGATATGGGGAGCTCCCTTGGTTGTGTGAAACAACCCAGCGATGCTGGACCAGGTGGTGCTGCACCACTATCACCCAAAAGAAAACTTCGCTTCAGGCGAAAACGAAAGGCCAAACAGAAGTTAAAAAGTGCCGAAGGGGAGGACAAGAGAAGCCGTGTCCTTGAAGAGAAGGAGAGTGGAAGCGTTGAAGTTACGGAGGGGCCTACGACAAGAGCCCCTGATTCAGCCAAACTGGTATCTGGACAAATAACTACAGAAACTGAAACGCCCACCAATGTTGTCCTTGTTCCTGGTATGGCCCCAATATTTGGAAGCACAGGGACATTGCGGGGCAGCAAGATGGCCATTCTTTCCCCAGATCCCAGTCCAGCCTGGCTGGGGGCACTTAGCCAGTTTGAGGTAGAGGGACTCTGTGAAGAGTCTCATGATGAATTAGAGCAAGGCAGCACAACTCCTGGAGGAGGAAGAGTCTGTAAGGTTCGAGAGCGAGTTCAGGGGGTATTAGAGAGACCCTGTCTTTTACGCTCCAAACGTGGTGACCTGGAAATAGAGAAGGAAGGAGGAGATGTGCATGGGCAGAGTGAACTGATGTTCGGTGAACCCTCAGAAACCAAGAAGAAGGGAGTTGTTCACATTCGTGAGTTTGGAGGGCAACTTTGTGTGGTCCGAACTGTGTATCCAAGGGACTATGGGCCGCCCGTCTGGCGTGACAAAGAACTTGAGGTCCATTCTGAACCTCCAGCTGCATCTCCTGTTACTGGAGACATTACGAAAATACAAGTGTCCGCAACTCAAGGGCGACCACCCGGGAAGAATGACCCTGCCAAACCAGCAACAGCTGCAGCTCGGGGGAAAAAAGGGAAAGAGTTCCTATTGGACAACTCTGCTCAAGTAGCTGAAGGCGTTGGTCCCCCACCACAAGACCTTCAGTCTTCAGGTTATGCTAGCGATGTTCCTCTCACCTCGCCCGAGACGGGAGGTGCTGTTCAGACTGACTGGGGGAGCTCCTCTGATGTGCTTGATTCTTCTGTGCTTGAGAGTCCAATCTCCCCTCAAGAGATACTGGCTCAGCCTTCCACCCAGGTCAGATTCTTTTCTCTCTGTCTTCTTAAAGCTCTTTCATATGGCTTTTGTAATATAAAAGAGTAGAGATTAAAGCTGATAAAGCTTGGGTGTGGATTGGCGGTATAGGTGTCTTCATTCTATTTCTTCACTACTATCTCTCGTGTGGCTTTTTTTCTCTCAGCCAATCAGCTGTGCGTAGAAAACAGCAAATCCTTCCTGAACCTCTCCCAGGAGCCTAATCAGTACTGCCCAGACCATCTCTCACTGTCTGCCTCCTTCTCTTCCTTCCATTCCTCATTATTTCCCTTCCCTCATACCACCCACTCTCTTTCCTGTCATTCCTGATGCTCTAGGTTCTGTATTCGAGTGAAACTGCATGGCAGTGCCAAAAACATGGTCACAAATGATGTTCACAGACATTTTGTCAGCTGCTCATCTTTTTTCTCTCTGCACCAGTGTGATTGCTGCATATTTGTGTCTGTTGCCTGCCCTCCCTTGCCTAGTGCTCCACCTGCACACTTAAGAGTTATGGCTAGTGGAGAGGGATTTCATGGCCTCGTTACAGACATTCCAGCAGTGTGCTAGCTGCACTTGGTTTATTAAATGCTCAATATTAAGCATACTCAAACCATGACGTTTCAGTGATGTCTACCTAGCTATTTTTCTGCCAGTGTACCAGAAATGCAGCATAAATGTGGAAACCGAAGCCAGCATGCACACACCCAGAAATGCACATCAAACAGTCAATGTTTGAGTGTTTAAATGCAGTCTCCATGATCTTTCACCATAGAGCAAACTGTCTTCTATAGAGTTAATGCAATATGTGTTGCAGTCATGATGGCATGAAATTTCCCTACATATAAAAAAAAGATTGCGCATAAATCAGGCCTGCAAACTTTCTTTAGGGAAATGTTTGCTATCTGCATTTTTGCTCTTCTTTCTTTCTATTACATAACATTACATTTTTTTTCTGTCATGACTACTCTCGGAGAGTTCAGCATGGTAATATACATGGCAATGTTAATGTGTTTGGTCTTGCAAGTAGCAAGTACTGAGACTTACTACTGCTAATACATTCACAGACATGCTGTTGTGAGCATGTAGGAAATACTGCTGCTGCACATCTAACAAATAAATAACAAATAACCTCCATATATAACGTCAGCTTGCATACAACCTCCATATATACCCTGTAGAAGATCTATACAGGTGAAGCTGGGGAAGGTGGAGGGTTTCTGAAGCACACTGCAACTGCTACGGAAAGCTCTAGCCAAGTATTTGAATGTTGAGCAGCAAGCAACCTATCAGCCTGTGCCATCCAGAATTTCATGACAAATCTTTGTATATATTTTTAATATGTGTTGATCTGGTTGATTTGTTTATTTAGAATTTTTATTGGTTGGTTTTGCATTTTCTTTGATTTCTCATATCACTTTTATCGTTTTTCATCATCAAATGCCCTTTTACATTGCTGATTGTAGCACTTCCTTCACTATCCCTTATGCCCACACTAAATTATTACAGTGCACATTGGTGTGTGTTCATCTGCTGGTAACATGCTCAGTGTTAACTGTGATGTAATTAAACTATTTGAGGGTTGCAGCTCATCACAAAGCATGACTGTTCTTACTCTATTATAAGGTCACATACTCCGTCATCTGCACTCTAATGGAAATACCAGTGCAGGGCTCCAGACTCATTCTTCCCACTGGTCGCTCTTTTGCAACTACGTTTGCTTACATACATCTACACACCTTTCATTTTTAAGACTAAAACAAAAGATGGATTCATTGTTAATCTTAATTAAAAAGCACAACAACAATAAATCAGTAAGATACAATGACAAACTAGCTTACAAAACGTTTATTAACAAAAACGAATAAGATGGCACACACCACATGCTGTATTATATACCGACTAATAAATTACAGAACGTTTAGCAAACACAGAGGAATC